CTTCCCTGAGCAGGAGGTTAAACCAGCCCTGGTGGTGGTCCCCTCCCGGCGGCGTGGGGTGCAGCGTCCCCCCCAGGTGTTGGGTTGGGGCTCAGGGATGGGGCTGTGGCCATGATGGGTCAAATGGTCTCAGACCCCTGCTCTCCCCTCTGCCCTGCCCAGTCTCTCCCCCTGCTCTACAGCCCATTGAATGAGGTGGTGGGCAGGATGACCTTCAGCAAACTCATCAAGGTCCTGCAGGAGATGACCCGGCCTCTGCCCAAGTCCCCTGATCTCCCCCTTGCCATGGCCTTGAAGAACCAGGTAGGTGGCCCCAAGCAGGGCAGAGGCATGTGGCATCCCCAGCTTGCCACTGCTGCTGGCTGTGACGTTCCTCCTGCTGCTTCCCTGCAGTTTGGGATCTCCTTGCTCTACTCCCTGCTGAGCCATGGGGAGAGGCTGCTGTCCTCTGATGTGCCGCTGGAGCCACACAGCGGGGAATTCAAGACATGGTGAGGGGCCTGTGCAAATGCTGGGGTTGGGGTTTGCCAGCCGGTGGGACACTCAACCCCCTGTGTCAATGCCTCCAGGACAGACACGGTGTTCCTGGTCGCCCGGGAGCTGTCACAAGTGCCCAAGCCCTCACTGGTGGAGCCTCTCTTCTTGCCCAGCAACCTCCTCTCGCTCTTCTGCCGCTATCTGGACAAGCAGACCGTCCACCACCTGGAAGCCAAGATGGAGTGAGTGCTGCCTGGCATGGCTTGTGGCTCCTGCCAGGGGTCCCTCAGATGCAGCAGACTGCATTGGGGCCTTGCTGCTTCTGCCCCCTTGGGGACCCTGTTGGACACAAGTCCCCAAACCTATGCTGGGCTTTTAGTTTTCTGGCTTTAGTGATCCTGGGACTGTGCTGGCTGGCGCTGGGTTTTGTGTTTTGCATCTGGTTCACTGCACCTCGATGGCACATCCCTGTGGGATGAATTGAAGTGAGGGGCAAAAAAACAGGGGAGGATCCCCTGCCAGCAATTTTGCCAGCAGCTGTAGGGCACCCTGGGGTGGTTGGGCAGGTGGGCACCAGGCAGCTGCTGGCAGCATGAGTGTGACAGCATGATGCTCCAACCTCGTCCTTTCCCTGCAGATGCTCCCCGCTGCCGTCGGAGGCTGCCATGCTGTGCTGAGCCCTGGGGGCCAGCAGTGCTGGGAATGGGCAGGGCCCGATGCTGCACCTTTAGAGTTTCAAAGCGAACACTTACCCTGGTGCGGGGCACTCTGGGTGAAGCCGGGCACTGGCAGGGCTGGCGCTCGAGAGGGCTGATGCTGACCTGCCCTGGTGCCTGGGGCACAGGGAGGCGGGTAACTTATTTTTGGCCTCGCACCCAGGAGCAGTGAGTGCTGGATCATGGTGGGTGTCAAGGCAGGGTCTGCACAGGGGCGCTGGGAGCACCTGGGGGTGAGTGACTTTGTGTACAGCACTTGAAATAAAATAAAAAAGTGATTAACAAGCTCCTCTGGCTTCTGGGGACAGCTTCAGCTGTAAGCACAGTGGGCCTGGGGGCATCTTGTGGGCATGGAGACCCCTGGTTGGGGGCAGTGTGGGGATCCACATGCACAGTGAAGGGGAAGGAGAAGCAGGGAGGGGGATGCATGGAGAACCCAGAAAGAGGATAAAGGGGGGGTGGGGGAGAAGGCGAAAGGTGCTCAGAAGGGAGCGGAGGGGGATCCAGAGGCCCCATGTGGCTGGGGACAGAGGGGCATCGAGCCCCCAGGGAGAGGAATGGGCTGGAAGAAAATGGGATGAGGCAGGGAAAAGGTGGGGGTAGAGCTTCCCCAGAGGGGAAAGGAAAGGTCTGTGCGTGCAGGAGGGCGCATCTGGGTGCATGTGGGGAGGATATGGGGGCTCTTTGACATATGTGGGTGGGTAATAAAGCACCTCCTCTCTCTGCTGAGCTCTCAAGGGCTAATTAGTCTAAAGGCTTTCAGGCATGATCATGATGAAGCACCTCAAAGAGGTTTGCACCAGAAAGTTGTCTCCTCAGCCTGGTAGTTTTTGTATGTGCCTGAGCTCCAACCCCACATAGGTGAAACTCTTTAACTGATGTCCTCCAGAGGTCAAACTAATACATGTGGAAAATTTGCGGAAAATAAGGGTGTGACTGGCTGAGTGGTTGGGTGGGATTTATTATCTCCATGGCTTATCAAGACAGCTTGGATTCTGGCTTCTGAAACATGCTTCAGAGGAGCAACTGAGGTGCCTGGATACAGCAGTACAAAGATGAGAGATGCCGCAGGTGCAATGCTAGAGGTGAGGTGCAGGCCATCAATCATCTAAAAGGGTGTGAGGTCCAGCTGGAAGGAGTTCCAGATCATTCTGGCAGCTCCTTTTGTCATCCTGATGCCTCTCCTGCTCATCTTAGTGTCCTACAGCTTCAGCCTTTGCCCTCAAAATCAGGTTTGACCAAAGCAGGTTCAAAGCCTTCTCCACTTGCTCCTCACACTTTATTGCTGGAAAGTTCTTTTTTTTGGGAGAGCAGTGTTCATACCTGTGTGTCCCTAGCCATCCACTGCTACGTTGCTTCAAAAGAGTGAGGCTGGCAGGTTGTCACTGGGGTGAAACCTGTAGTGTTAACCCACTGAGGTGATCTGGGACCCACATGTAGGCAAAAGGCTGGACCTTGCCACTACAAACCCTGGAGACAATTTCAGACAGAAGGGAACCAGTAGCTGCTTGCTGATCTGGAGGAAGAGAGGAGGACACCTGCGAGTCCTTCAAGATAAGGATAAGCTGTGTGATGTTTTTGGTTTGCAATGGAGCAGAGCGCAGACCTCTGGGAGAGCGCTCCTCACCTCAAGAGCCAGCGGGGACGGAGGAGGAGAGTGCAACACGGCTGCAATCAGGTATGAAACCAAACGCTCCAATGCAGAAGGGCTGGAGGTCTTCACTGGACTCTGCTACTTTGTTGCAGGGAACAGCTGAGGCAAAAGAAGGGAAATTTGTCTCTCTTGGTCACTCTCTGACAACCAAGAGACCCAGACCACCCCGCAGCCCTCTCAGCACTTCCTGCTGGAAGAAAGAGACCCCTCTCCCTGGGGCACCACCTGTTGAATTAATTCAGCTGAGGGGTGTCCAGCAGCTCAGGGACACCATCTGCGTCGGGATCTTCTCCCTTAACCCAAAGCTGATGGAAATCCAGGGCGTCTCACCCAGCTCTGCTTTACCTACTGCCCTGCCTGGCTCTTCCTGGCACTGTCCTGAAGGAGCCACCAGCCCTGTGGGGTGGTTGTGACCCATCACCATGAGTGAGCAGCTGGACCAAAAGGAGTCACTGTCTTAGGGATATGGGGCTCATCCTGGGATGTTTTGGGGGGTTGAGCTAATCTTGGGATGCAGGGAAGAGCATTTTGAGCTTGCATGAGACCTATGGGCTCTTATGGGGAAAAGGAAGGATCAAGGTGGTTTACAGCAGTGTTGCCTCTCTTGGGCTTCTCCTCAAGCACCTCAAGCTGAACAGGCAGCCATCCCAGCCAGGGCGTGGAGGTGATGGCAGCTGTCCCAGGTTGAGGTGTTGAGGGGACTGCAGCCAGGTCAGGGCATGAGGGGGACCATGGACACCTCTGTCCGGGTATTCAAGGGAGGTTGGCTGTCGTGGTAGGAAAGTTGGAAGGGACTACAGCAAACTTGGCTGGGGCACGGAAGGTCTGTGGCCTTCTTGATTGGGCCATCAAAGGCACCATGGCATCTGGGTTAGGGCATCGAGGGGTTGATGGCCACCTCAGCTGGGATGCTGTGTCTCGGAGGGGTCCCCTCCACTGAGGGGACCATGGCCATCTTGGTTGAGACATTGCGCAGACCATGGCCATCTGGGTTGGGGTGTTGAGGGGAGCAGGGCTGGTTGGGTCACTGAGGGGACCACGGCTGGCCGGGGGGCGCTGAGGGACC